CTATATTTTTCCTTGTACCCTGAAGATGGAGGCGATACGTTCCTCCGAAACGTCGGTTAACACCACATATACACGATGCCAAATCCCAGAAGACTGCTTTCTTCATAGTCACCGCCGTGAAAGCCTCAGATCTTACAAAAATGGAGGTGTTACAGTCACAAAAGCAAACGTTTTTATTAGTCAAATCGCAAAATATTTCGTCCCAGATAAACCATCTTCAGGTCATTCTTGAGGAATACACTAATGGTGATGAATACATCCAAATTACTGCAACATATATATTAGATTTTAAATGTTCTATATGTGTATACATGGTATGTATTTTTACTAACAAAATATTATACTAGCATTTTAGTTTAATGTATTCTATCAAAATATTCCTCATGATTCACCTGATGATAGCCAATCTGGACCGAAATATGCCGTCAGTTGATTCATACGAACATTTGTTTGTGTGACGGAAACACCTCTATTTTTGTTATTTCTCTCACGATGAAAACAAAAATGATAAAATGTTAGTATATTCATGGAAATTTTAATTAATTTCGAAGTGATTGTAGTGAGGATTTGTGTGTAAATATTGAAGATAAACTTCATTTTTATCACAAGGTTTATTTTATTTTCTTCACATGCAACGACGTTGATAAGGTTAATTCTTACTATCACATTTGTTTTCTCCACGACAGACAGCTTGCTGATGCTATACTTTGCTTTGGTCAGATCTAAGGACAAGTCTGAGCATGTTCTGTTGCTTGAAACTGTATTACGATTAATGACTGCAATAAGCTTCAACCCATGCAAAGAACACCTGCAATCCTTTGCAAAAGTATTAGTGTCAGTATGGTATTTATGTGAAAAAAAAAATTAATTTACACGTTCTGCATACCAGGCGTATTCACTTAGATGATAAATGTTTGNGAGTTATTTCTCTCACGATGAAAACAAAAATGCTAAAATGTTAGTATATTCATGGAAATTTTAATTAATTTCGAAGTGATTGTAGTGAGGATTTGTGTGTAAATATTGAAGATACACTTCATTTTTATCACAAGGTTTATTTTATTTTCTTCACATGCAATGACGTTGATAAGGTTAATTCTTACTATCACATTTGTTTTTTTCACGACAGACAGCTTGCTGATGCTATACTTTGCTTTGGTCAGACCTAAGGACAAGTCTGAGCATGTTCTGTTGCTTGGAACTATATTACGATTAATGACTGCAATAAGCTTCAACCCATGCAAAGAACACCTGCAATCCTTTGCAAAAGTATTAGTGTCAGTATGGTATTTATGTGAAAAAAAAAATTAATTTACACGTTCTGCATACCAGGCGTATTCACTTAGATGATAAATGTTTGTAATGGCGGTGAATATTGCCCCTGTGTCCTAGAAACCGTCTGCATTGATGTTCTTGCTCGGAACATACTTAACTTTTCTATGTTCAGTTGCTCCTTCAGAGGTTGTCCCTCAGCTGGATATGCTCCTGTTGGTACCACAGTTTGTGAATCAACAGATTTTTTTAGAAACTTATATTAACATTAATAAATTTGAACGATTTACCTCTTTGATTTGTTTGTTTGTTTGTTTTCTCTTAGTATGTGTGTTTTTATGAAAACTGCATAATGAGGAGCTTCATTACTTGTACTCTTGTATAATTAGAATGATCAAGTCAAGGAGGATGAGGTGGCCAGGTCATGTAGCATGAATGGTGGAGACAAGGAATGTATATAGGATATTGGTGGGAAAGCCAGAAGGAAAGAGACCACAGGGAAGACCAAGGCGTAGGTGGGTGGACAATATTAGAATGGATCTTAGAAAGATAGGATGGGATGGTATGGATTGGATAGATTTGGCTCAGGATAGGGACCAGTGGAGGGCTCTTGTGAACACGGTAATGAACCTTCGGGTTCCATAATGTGCTGGGAAATTCTTGAGTAGCTGCAGAATTGGCAGCTCCTCCAGAAGGGCTCAGCTCCATGAGTAAGTAAGTAAGTAAGCAAGTAAATGCTTGTTTTTGTTGTAATCGTTTTTATTTTTTTCTGACTCTCTGTGATGACTTAAGTACATATATAAATACACGTAAACGATTGAAATGAATCGTCACCTTTTTATTTTGTAAGATTTGAGGTTTTCACGGCGGTGACTACGAAGAATTCCGTCTTCTGGGTTGTGGCGCCGTGTAGATCTAGTGTAAACCGACGTTTTGGAGGAACATATCGCCTCCATCTTCAGGGTAGAAAAATACGCAAGCGTGTGTGTGAGGAAGTGGCTGCAGACAGCAGCGATACGTTTCTCCAAAACGTCGGTTTACACTAGATGTACACGGCGCTACATCCCAGAAGACAACATTGTTCACAGCTTTTTAGTTTCTTCTCCTATCGATCATCTTGATTTTGTACAATACCGTGTTCCAGTCTAAACTTCAGTTCGCTTGTGCCATCTGCAGCTTCATTACAGTGACTGAGTCAAGCAAACATTAAATAATTTAAACAGAATTAGCCTACTCGGTTAAGCAAAGATTTTTCTGTTTTTTATTTTTACGTGTTTTGCGGAAGATGTTATTTTCAGGTATATTGATGCATTAAACAGGAAGTCCATTTCGTGAATTGACATTATTAACGCTCTTAATAATGTACACGTATAAGATCTATTTGTTCAAATCCATAGTTTTCTTTACTCGTATATTTTTTAGTTTCCTGTATCTTGTTAATTGTTTTTCTGCTTTGTTAATACAGTATGCGCCAAAATTTATAGTACTGAAATGAAAAGACGTCCTGTTGATACCACTGTCTATTCATGTGAAGGTCTCTTGCACGACCGAGCATTCTCAGATCCTCAAGAAATTGTCAGATCACCATGTCCCTGTAGCGTTCTTGGGTGACGGTAAGAGCATGAAATAGTGGCCTAATATACCGTGTGCTGAGACGGCACACCGTATCGTCAGGTGTACTATGTAGCTGTTTCTGGACGATAACATCTGGCCGCTCAAAACGGAGGAAGCGAGTTGTCTGGCGACCTCTTCCGTATGAGAGGAAATAATACTCAACTATGAATACTTCTCCTCCGTCGAGAGACCCATTTCCAACAACTGCATAAAATCTTCCTTTTCACTACTGGGAACATGTGCGGCTGGAGCTATGTCCCGTCGACAAAAGCACATGCGCTTTCGAGATGCGCGAGTTTCAGTACTGAATTTTTGGCGCATACTGTACTTGTTTACGTTTTTCCTTTATTGAGCTTTTTGCAGTATTTCCTGCAATTAGCTTTGCAGATGATGTCTACCACTTTAATAAATTAATTGAATTGAATTATTATACATCACTAGTGATTGCTTTCAATAATATGTATGTTAATAAGGAAGGGAAACAAACCTGTTTTGTTTTAACCCACAAACATCCGATTATATTGTCACGTGTAATGTGATTTATTAACCACTTACGGGTCGTAACTACAGTTCATTATTACTCTGTTACTACTTTGCACACTTAACAATCACTCCGCCCTAATCTTTTCAGTCTATCTGCAGTAGTCTTCACTGATTTATAACGCAGGAACTATAACAGTCTCACTGAATTACACACTCCAAATATTACGCATAAATAAAGTCTTCTAATCACATGTTAAGTTTTCACAGGACGTCTAATTCTTCTTCAACTATGAACTTCCCGTGCCCTTCTCCTACCGAGAACTAACTTGCTTGCTTGTTCGCGTGCTTCTGCCGCTACTACTAGTCGTAACTGCCCTGAACGAATTCTGTCACGTATATAGCCGCGGAACGGACACGGACCTATAGTAAACACATATCACGTGATCGTTATTCAGCCAGTCTATTGGTATGTCGATCGGATCTACAGATCTCTGTTGTTTTTTGTCGGGCCGTGTTTACAGAGATGTTGCCTGACATCGCGGTGATCAAATCCGTTACAATATGTTAAATGCTATGCATTTACGTGTGAAATAAGGAACGCTCCATAAGGAGATATACCTCCTAAGTCACTAATTTTATATGGGAAAATTGTTTACGAGATATAACGGGTTTTCCCCCCAGTGTTTTCTCCAGCATTTACTGTCGAACTATTGTATAAAACCAAGAAACCATGTTTCACAAGCATGCAGAATAACTGGCAAAATTATAATATCTTGTTCAGAAATTTGTAGAGTTGGTAGGTTGACGAAAATTATCAGACTAGATAATTATAAACATGTCCAGAATTTATTCTTCTAATTTCATGATGAAAGTCATGTCTGTCTGCTATTATTCCCAAATACCGTACTTATATTTTGAAACATTCTGAAATGATACATATGTTTATATCACGCCTAGGGCTTCGTTGCTGATTCTTGTGTTTGTCATGCATATGTAAATTAATTTCATCTGTATTTGCTAGATAGACCAAAAACAACTGGAGAACGTGAAATGTTTTAAATATTTGGGTAGCTTGTTAACAGATGATGGAAGGTGTACTTGTGAAATTAAATCCAGGATTGCCATGGCAAAAGCTGCATTTAGCAAGAAGAAGAATCTTTTTACCAGCAAATTGGACTTAAATTTGAGGAAGAAACTAGTGAAATGCTACATTTGGAGCATAGCTCTGTATGGGGCTGAAACATGGACACTTAGGGCAGTAGATCAGAAACATCTGGAAAGTTTCGAAATGTGGTGTTGGAGAAGAATGGAGAAGATCAGTTGGACCGATTATGTGAGAAATGAAGAAGTGTTAATTAGAGTCAGTGAGCAGAGGAATATCCTACATGAAATAAGAAAACGGAAGGCTAATTGGATTGGTCATGTTTTACGCAGAAACTGCCTTCTAAAAGAAGCTATCGAAGGAAAGATAGATGGGCGGATAGAAGTGACAAGAAGACGAGGAAGAAGACGTAAGAAGATGCTGGATGACCTTGGGGACAGAAGAGGATACTGTCATTTGAAGGAGAAAGCTCTAGATCGCATTAAGTGGAGGAATTGTTTTGAAAGAGACTGTGGACCTGTCGTCTTGACAGATTACTGATGATGATGATGATGTATTTGCTAGTAGATACATTTCTATGTTGCCATGTAGAATATCTATGTTACTCTTTATAACAATCTCATTTAGCACTGGGACCGCCTATATGGTATAGTGGTCAAATATACAGATATAGGGGTCCCGGGTTCGATTCCCGGCGTTACCAGATTTTCTGAGAATTAGTGAGTCTGGAACGGGGTCCACTTAGCCTCGTGAGGATAATTGAGGAACTATTTCAAAGAAACAGTGGCTCCCGTCTAGAAAACCGACCTCTATCCGCTAAAGTTGGAACTAACTTCGCCGACAAGCGGCGATGGCTCAGTCGGTATAGTTCGCTTGCGGACTAAATCCACAGAGTTTGTTTTTTTACTGTCACCGTAAATATAGGGAGGTCAATTTTACGCACCGCTTCCTAATTCTCATGGACCTCCATAATTGTATATGAGATTAAGGTAAATTTTTTTATGCTTAATGACGAAACACCACGTCTTCAAGACCTGTGCAGGTGTGGATGTATTTATCCACGCATTGTTAATCTCTGCACTGCATAAAAATCTGTTGTCAGATTCACTCCGCTTTACTCTCGAGGAACTGAAGGGTGCTCGGGCCGGTCTAGACACATTAGTGCAAGAGAAGAATTCTAATTGAACTCTGCTCGTCCAGTAGGTAGCAAATTCACTATACTAATTTAGCTGAATGACTGACTTGGCTTTTCTGGCTCTCCTATTTTAGTTTCAAATTCAAATGAGCTTAAGAAATAAAATAAATTGTCTGAACCCAGCTTCTACGAACAAACACCAAAAAGATTCTTAATATCCCAGAAAGTTTCATCAAAATATTCTCATCAATGAAAGGGATACAGTGTTCATAACATAAAAATAAGACGCTTCAGATATGGGTAAACTCACTTGTGCTACTGCACCGCGTGTGGAAGAGGAGTGAATGTTTTCTCTTAGGTTGTCCTCTTCCTTAGGATCGTCACTCCCCGGAGTACGTCCATTGGGGGCCACTATTATCTCTCCTGATGTAGAGTCGTCTTTTAATATCGGAACAGCTTCTGGTGGCCTGCGGAAATATATAAATTGTTCCACTTACATTTTCATGCAGGACACTCTGATTCGGCTCCATTACGAAATAAAACTTCACGAAACTTCACTTATCTCTGATATACTGAAGATGTATGTGATACTAATTGTGTCTGGGTTTCTATTGAAAGAGGTTCCTTACCCGTAATTATATTGCAAACCTAAGTACTTGCGTAAAGTTCTGTGTTCGTAACTCGTATTAGAACTAGTGATATATCATTTGTGCTAGATTTTCTACATTGACGAAAGTATTTAAATGAATGGTTCAGAAGTTTATCTGGCCTTCCATTGATATAGGTAAGCATGAGTTCGCTACATTTGGATGCAGTTGACTATGTGTTCAAGACAACACTCCTACCTCTTTTAGAAAACAATACTGATGGTGCGCGCGCAAGAGCAGACTACTGGAATAGACTGAAACACCTATTTAAGGCCTCTTTCGGAAACATTGGATCTGAACACTTAACTGTGGGAAAACTTTAAATGGATGTATTTTATTATGCAGGGCAAAATCACGACACAAAGATAGGTAACAGATGTTTTGAAAATGTGGCACAGTTCCAATATTTGGGAACGACTGTAACAAATCAGAACCCGATAATACTTGCTACCATTCAGTCCAGAACCTTTTGTCTTCTCGTCTCCTGTCGAAAAAAAAAAGAATATACAAAACTATAATTTTACCTGAGGTTCTGTATGAGTGTGAAATTTTGTCTCTGACTTTAAGGGAAGAATATAGACTCAGGGTGTTTGAGAACAGGGTGTTGAGGAGAATATTTGCACCGAAGATAGATGAAGCGACAGGGGGTTGGAGAAAAGTGAATAATGAGGAGCTTCATAACTTGTACCCTTCTCCAAGTATAACTAGAATGATCAAGTCAGTGAGGATGAGGTGGGCAGGGCAAATAGCACAAATAACGAAGAGGAATGCATATAGGATACTGATGGGAAAACCATAAGGAAAGAGACCATTGGGAAGACCAAGACGTAGGTGGGTGGGCAATATTAAAATGGATCTTACAGAGATAGGTTGGGATAGTATGGACTGGATTGCTCTGGCTCAGGATAAAGACCAATGGTGGACTCTTGTGAACACGGTAATGAACTTTCGGGTTCCAAAAATGCTGGGAAGTTCTTGAGTGGCTGAACAATTTGCGGCTTCTCAAAAAGGGGTCAGCTCCATGAGTGAGTGAGGAAGTACTTTAACACTGGGTTTGTGAACTTCGAACCATTGAAACTGATCGTTAAACAAAAGAAAATATTAAGTCAAGCAACTGAGTATGGGTTGTACTGTAATAAATTGAACTGTCGAAATTGTACTATTGACGTAGGGATTATCCATTTATTTTTTTCTGATGTTTCTGTATATGTACATCTTTGAGGTCTCAGGAAGTGCATCCCTTGAAATTTGTCACCCTTCCTTTATGAAATTATACTGCAGTCGGGAAGAGTTTCAGTTAGGGATATTATGTCCTTATTGGTGATACAAGTTCCGGAGGCTTGAGGGCACCAGATTTATTAGTCACGGAGACTTTGTTTCCTTAGTTGCTTTTCTTGTCTCTCATTTCTTATTGTACACAAAGGAAATGATGAAGTCTGTCTTCCGGGATATAAGGGCATGCAATCTGGTTAAGATCCATCATTAGGTTCGAAAAGTAGACCAAACTGCGAGTATTATTATGTCTGCGGGCCTAAGGAAGGAGATTGACACCCCTGAGTTAAAAGACGCCCGATCAGTTTAGTGCGATGAAGAAACTAGGAAAGTACACAATTTGTCTTGCGCGAGCTAGCTACCGTTGCCAACGGTGACGTAGCGGTTGCGCCTATATAGTAGCCTTAATATTGGAAAGTGTGAGGAAGTTCTGACTGGCAGCGGTTTTAATTATATAGTCCTTAGGTCGGTAGCGATAATCATCAGAATAGAGATCAAAGTGTTAGGGGAGTCTACACTCGACAGCCTACTGACGGCGCTCCGTGGGGCTATGAAGCCGCGTCTTCACCTTCATTCTTATTTGCAATCAAAGTAAGTGAATCCATATAGTATCTCTGTCGAATCAGAGCGATGCATGTAGGGACCGACCATGTTGTGTAATTTAATTCACTCCTTAATTATTTTGCAAGTAGTGTAAATGAATGTAAGCGATAGTGGACCCCAATGTTACAAGATAATTTCCGAGAACCAGGGACCTCTGAAGACCAGGAACTCTACCAGTAGTACGAAGTGAAGATTAAATTCGGCCACAACCCAGAACCACCTTCCTTGAAGTACCTCCAGTCCATACTGATCCTTTCAGCAGGCGTGGGTTGTCGGAGTGTTTGAGGCAGCTGAAATGTCGCCCAAAGGCGTACAGTAAGCAATAGCAATAGATAGACCACTGCGTAACAAGTAGAAACCATTATGAAATAGGCTGTAGGCAAAACTGCTTGCTTCTTGATGGTTTCTTGCTTAGCGTACTCTTCGACCCTGAAGATTGATGTGATATATTTCTCCGAGTCATCGATTGTGTTTCACAGGACTACATCCTAGAAGACAGACCTCATTGCCGTTGCTGTCAGGACCTCAGATTCAATACGGGGAATTCTTATTTCTGAAACTACGAACTCTACAAGGGGTTAGAAAAGATTAGATATAACCAACACATACACAATTCACGAAGGAAACGCCTTGCCAAAGCAACGGCTTGTCTCATGCGAAACGGAATACGAACGTTAAGTCTTGTCACATAATCGTAAGCCATTTGGTAAATATAAGAGAAACGCCCAAGTACATCGACTAAGGTATGGACCACCTAGTGTTTATCAGATGTAGTATAAAGAGGTGGACGCAAGTTTGAGGGGTAGATGGTCTTGAGAATAGTAGCACGGCTCCTAGAATCCTCAGACAGAAAAATGCGGTCACGAGTCCTACGGGACCCGGTATCAGGAATGATTGTGCTGGCGAGAACCAGGAGCAATTTGCCCTCACCGAAGGATAGATATAGATAGATAGAAGCACGGTTAAATAAACTGGCAGACAGATATGGTCTTTATAGATAGGTCGACAGACAGACTTACAAAATGGATATACAGACACAGACAAAATAGGTCGGTAATTAGGCAGACATACAAATTAGGTAGGTAGACAGACACATAGATTAGATAGATATATATATATATATAAGTAGATATGTAGATGGATAGTTAGATTAGGCAGACAGAAACGTAGTTAATAATAAGAGATATTTGTGACGTATAAAACAGAAGGAAATGAAGAACCTGGAGCAAGAGGTGACGAGTGTTCCTGCCTTTGTGTCTTATGTCCTCATTTGTCTTCATTTCCTGAGGTAATTTGTTTTGTTTTTTTGTTTATTGTTGCTAGTGGGGTGGGACTGACAAGTCCCTTGTACTGCGGCCACTTCTGGCCTACTGTACCGGCCCCAGATGATAGGTGAGGGTGATTGTGGAGCAATTGGTGGAATGAAGATTGGCAGGGGAAACCGAAGTACTCGGAGGAAACCTGCCCCAACGCCACTTTGTCCACCACAAATCCCACTTGACCAGACCCAGGATCGAACCCAGGCCGGCGCGGTGGGAAGCCAGCGACTAACCGCTTGAGCTATGGCGCGGCCCAGGTTTACGACTTACTAAAGTGAAGCTAATACAGAGTGATTCTGAACGATTGTCGGGGTTTCCGTTTATAGGCCACAGAAACTCNTAGGAAGCCTCCAAGGTTACTGGTTGCAGCGTCCAGTGCAGTTTTTTTGTTTATGAAGTAGTTTACTTCTGTTACACACACACATTTATTGCGAAAGTGCAAACAGTCAAGAAGTTACTAGATTTCGCAAGCTTCTCTCGCGTACTTCTATGGAAATCTTATGCTTATTGCAATTATTATTATTATTATTATTATTATTATTATTATTATTATTATTATTATTAT